CATTTATTTGCCTCTTGGGAAAATCTTCTGAAACTCACCTCTCCTGAACCAAGAGATGTACACAGAGATTAACAATGATGTGATCAGTACGATGGACAGCTCCACTTGAAATCTAATGTAAAATCCGCATGACAATAAGTGATTCATGAATTAGTGTTCCCTCTCTTCTAAAGCATATCCCCATCCTAGTGTTTATTTCTTTTTAGGAAGAGCATTGGGCCATTTGTCTCATTGTTATGATCTTCAGCATCATCTTGGTTTGTGTTGTTGTCGTTGTGTGGACTCCAATATAATGCTAAGGCAAATGTTCCATCAGTGCAATGATTTTTGCTTGTGCAATGGAATATTCCCCATGTCTCCTCCACCCTGGACCCCTTCAGATTTATCCTATGGCTTTGCCACTATATACCAAAAAACCCTCACCTTCTAAGCAACTTCACAACAAGATAAAATACAGAACAGGTAACGTCAGTTAAAACAATACAGATACAGAGAGAGAGAGAGAGAGAGAAACAGCCTACAAAACAAAACATTTCTTAAAGTGTTCATCTAACAATACAAGAAAAAGGAAAAGTCCCACCCCACTAAAAGATGAATGCCACAGAAGATGCTATAATCATACATCTTTCCTCAAAAATGTAAACACCAAAAGCCTGGGTAAATAAAAATGTGTCCCTCTAAACTAAAGGATGGAGAACAAGACTATCAATTGCTACTAGTCATAGAATCATGGAATTGTAGATTTGGAAGGGACCACAAGGGTCATCTAGTCCAACCCTCTGCAATGCAGGAATTTCAGCTAAACCATCTATGACAGATGGCCATTCAACCTCTGCTTAAAAACCTCCAAGGAAGGAGAGTCATGATGGTTATACACATCCAATATCAGAGGCAGGATCCCAGCTGCTGGGGAACAATAGCAAGGGAGGCCTGTTGCCTCCATGCCCTGCTTATGGGCATACGGTTGCTCCTGCAGGAAACTGGAAGATGAACTAACAGCTGTTGGTCTGATCTAGCACAATTCTCCTTCTGAGTGTATCCTAATTGTTGAGCTTGTGTTCCTGCTTGATAACCAATGGGGAAAAGAAGCCTTTTGCAATGAAGTTATTGGCAGTTCTGGTACAATATACCACACACTTTCCCCCTCCAGAATATTGACGGGTTTCTTAATGTGTGGCAGATAAAGGGAGGCTGTGCATTAGCTAAGGTGTCCAGAGAAGTGTGGTGTTATTTTCCTCTCTCTTCCTGTTTGATTTGCAAATCAATAGAGCTGTCACTGCAATACACTTTGAACATTCAGCAATCCAACTGTCTTTAGCAGAAAAAGTTGTCCAAATAGTTGTCTAATGCTGTATGCACTGACAATCTCCAAGTGCAAGCAGTGTGTCATATTTTTCCCATTGTGTACCTGCTAGCTATTATATACCAAGCAACCACTTAGGGGGTGGGGTCCAAAGCTCAGTATATGCTTTACATAGTAGGCTCATTCACCAGCTAATGGGATCAGGTTGCAGTCAGTGGGAAAGCCCTTGCCTTACACTCATCTTCCTCAGACTGGTGCCCTGTAGATGCGTTCAGGCTGATGGGAGTTGTAGTCCAAATCATCTGCTTATTAACATTTATATTTTGCCTTCCTTTCATCATGGAATGGAAGAGGGATACATGCTCTTTCCAGGCAGTCTCCCATCCAAGGCACTGACCAGACCTAGACCTGCTTAACTTCAGAGGTGATGGCTTCAGGTTCCTTCAGATCATTCCCCTCAGACTTGAAGTAAACAGGTGCAGTAAGTGTATCTGCAAGGACCTCCCTCGTTCACCAATTCTTGCAGAACAGGAGCAACCAAAGAAAAGAAATTTCCTATCTACCTCACACCCAAGATCCCTCATAGTTCACTGCGGAAGGTCACCCACATGGACTTCATAGCCTGGACTGATCCTATGTCCAGTCCAGGGCTGGCTGAAGAAATTTTGTTGCCTTGGGCATATAGAAGCTTATTAGAATGTAAGTTTAATATTACAACAACACTGGCACTGGGACAGCATCCTCCATGATACCTGAGGGACCTGTGTAGACACAGTCAGGCTGCATCAGACACATAGCTCTGTCTTCCAGGATCTCATCACAACTCACTCAGAACGCTGGTCACTCAGAAAATATTGTAACACAGCAGCAGTGGTGGTGATGAGCAGAGCCATGAAAGAATTGTGGGACGTGTCGCAGGTTGCAAGCTAATTGTGTCAAGGGACAACAGTAAATAATATTTTTATGTGCTTCTTGTGATCATATGGTTTGCCTGCACCAAAAAGCATTGCAGATAATGAATGCTCTGTCTGCCTTCTTTGATGTGCAGCAACCATTTCACACATGCAAGCCATCACTCAAAGGTGCATGTGCAAACTCAGCAAAATGAAAAGAAGAGTAAAATAAAAATAAAAATGGGTGGGGAAGTTTTCCAGCTCTTTAATGAATATTGCTTCCCTTTTCACGTTGCCTGATTAATCTTTTAGGCGGTTATATTTGTGGTTGCAGAAGCCTCCATGTTGCTATGCGGTGGGTTTTTTTTTTCTCACCACCTCCACACCTGACATCTTTGGCAGAACACATTTACGCAGTTATAAAAGAGCACAAAGCCGTCTGTGAACACTTTACTACTGACAGTCTGAAAACAAAGTGAGAATCGGAAAGGCCTTTACTTGGAGCACTGCAGCTCTGAGTGAAAACGTAGGATCAGAGTCACCGGCCAATGAAGTTAATGCTTTTGTGGGTGTGGTCTACTTAACACAGGGATGGGGATGGTCAGGATGACACAAAAACAAATTATGCACGGCATGGAGAAAGTAGATAGAACAATGTTTTTCTCCCTCTCTAACACCGCTAGAACTCATGGTCATTATGTTGGAAGGTTCAGAATGGATGAAAAAAAAATACTTCTTCACACAGTTAAACTATGGAACACTCCCACAGGAGGCAGTGATGGGCACCAACTTAGATGTCTTCACAGGAGGAGTAGACAAGTTTATGAAGGTCAAGACTATCAATGGCTACTAGCCACTATCATTTAAAGGTGTTGACCTTTAAAGCCCTAAACAGCCTCAGCCCAGTATACCTGAAGGAGCGTCTCCACCCCCATCGTTCTGCCCGGACGCTGAGATCCAGCACCAAGGGCCTTCTGGCGGTTCCCTCATTGCGAGAAGCAAAGCTACAGGGAACCAGGCAGAGGGCCTTCTCAGTAGTGGCGCAAGCCCTGTGGAACACCCTCCCATCAGATGTCAAAGCGATAAACAACTACCTGACATTCAGAAGACATCTTAAGGCAGCCCTGTTCAGGGAAGTTTTTAATGTGTGGTTTTACTGTATTTTTGGTTTCTGTGAAAGCCGCCCAGAGTGGCTGGGGAAACCCAGCCAGATAGGCGGGGTATAAATAATAAATTATTATTATTATTATTATTATTATTATTATTATTATTATTATCATCACTGGCTACTAGTTCTACCTCCACTGCCACAGGCACTATGTTTCTGAATTCCAGTTCCTGGGAATTGTGGTGGGCAGAGTTATGCTTGTGTCCAGCTTGCGGGCTTCCCACAGACATCCAGTTGGCCACTGTGAGAGCAGGATGGTGAACTAGATGGACCATTGACTTGATCCACCCAGAAGGCTCATTTTCTGTTCTTATGGCCATCAACTTGTTGCTGAGACTCCCAACTTCCATCAGCCCCAGCTAGCATTGTGAATGGCGGCTGAAGTCCAGCAGTATCTGAAGAGCCACAGATTCTCCGTTACTGATCTTGCATCTCATTGCACTAGCTCTTTCTTCTCTCATATCCATCACAAGTCCCCTTCATTGGAAAGAATGAACATCCCACTTATATTATAAAAAAAGAAAGTCCCCACATTATTATTTATTTATTTTTTAAAAAGTAAATCACTGCTGCTGTTGTTGCATGAAAAATTCTATCTTTCCTGAGAGGAGCTCAGGGATATGGTTCCCTCTCCCCATTTTATCCTCCCAACAACCCTGTGAGGTAGGTTAGGCAGAGGCAGTGGTTGGCTCAGGATGCATCAGACCAGCTTCTCTCTCCTGTTAGAAACTAACAAGAGGTGTGCATTCCAAATGTCCAACTGCGCCTGCATGTTGCCTTTTGTGTCTTGATAAAACAGCCATTGCTTTTTCCACCTGCCTTGCCCCACCCTCCAGCCTTCATAAGGGGGCTGTTTCCAGAGGAAGAACAGTGAGGGGAAAGGTGCTGTAGTGCTTTGTGAATCATATAATATGACTTTTGTTGTGGTTTTGCTGTTTCGTTTCCCCTTTTTTTAGTTGCTGCAGTTAACAGTGTTTGGTAGGAGAGGGTTGGTTGTCCTATTGATGATTTGTTATTTATTCTATAATTGTGATGTTCTATTATGTCGCTGTTATTTATTGTTTGTGAGCCGCTTTGCCACTAGCGTGAGTGCAAAACGACATAGACATACAGTGGTACCTCAGGTTACATACGCTTCAGGTTACAGACTCTGCTAACCCAGAAATAGTGCTTCAGGTTAAGAACTTTGCTTCAGGATGAGAACAGAAATTGTGCTCCGGCGGCACGGCGGCAGCAGGAGGCCCCATTAGCTAAAGTGGTGCTTCAGGTTAAGAACAGTTTCAGGTTAAGAACGGACCTCCGGAACTAATTAAGTACTTAACCCGAGGTACCACTGTATCTGTTACGGATGCTTTAGTTGAGATTCTTGCATTGCAGCGGATCGGACTTTATGACCCTTGGGGTCCCTTCCAAGTCTACAGTTCTACGATTCTATGATCATGAATGAATGAACAGTGGTTGAGGTGGAGAGGTAAGGAAACCACAATGAAATACTGAACGGATCTTGCTGAATTGTGCCCATCCCCGACGGCAACTCTGCTTTCTCGCCCCTGCGCGAAACTCCCTTTGCGATCCTAAACCTCTGCGGCCGGCGCTAACTAGCTTGTTTGCGGGCGGGGAGGGCGGCACTCTGCACATGCTCCAAGGACGTCGCTTCATGGTTTCCCACGCGCCGAAAGACCAGCTCTGCCGTTGGCCTCTCACTGTGTCCGCGCCACCACCACCCCGGACTGCCCACTCGGGAACTCCGGACCCTGCCGCCTGCCCGCCTCTCCTCCCCCTGCAGGACTACGTCTCCCAGCATGCACCGCGAGCTCCTCCTCCCTCCCTCCCTCCCCCACGAGCCCCTCGGGAGACGGGCGGAGCAGCGTGCGGGAGGAGGGCGGCCGCCAGGACTTCTTGGCGAGACTTCAGCGGGATGGGCAGCGCCGCGCCTCCGCCGCCGCCGCCGCCGGGTGGGCGCAAACTGAGCGGGGAAAGGTATGTCCGGAGAAGGGGAACCAGCTGCCGGGGCCACCCGAGTCCGCCTCCTGACGACCCTTAGAAACGCGTCCGCCTGGAGTTTGCACGCAGACCCCGGGGAGGAAAAAGCAGGGAAAGGTCTCCGTGGTGCCAGCCTGGGCTGTGACACGGCTTTTGGGGGGCATCCCGCACCCCAGTCTGTTGGCACGGGCGCCCAGAAGGCAGCAGCTCTCCGGGGATGTAATTCATAATAATTATATTTTGCTTCATAGATGGATGGATAGATAGATAAAAGTCCATGCTCGGGGTTTTTTTCCCCTCCCCCACCCCTTCTTTAAGGTCAGTGGGTTGTTCTTTAATTTTTTTCATGCTCCCAAGTTTTCTCTCTGCCTTGCAAGCAACGCATCGTTCCTCTCCGTTTCTTTGCATCCTCTGTCTTTGAGGAGCATAATTTCATTGCAAGCGTGGCGGGCGGGTGTGTGTGTGTTTTAATCGGAGCTGGAGATCTGCTTCAGAAAGTGCTCCTTTCCCTCCTCCTGGGATTATCAGATTTCCACAAGAGAATAGAGATCCTGGATTTGCCGAGCTACAAGGGATTTGCTGGCTTCTTCCTAATTAGACTCCGCATTTGAATGTGGACTCCCCCCAGTTTAGTTCTTTCTTTCTTGAGTTTGCACTTTCCTCCGTTTGAAACTTGATGGTCTTTGCCTTTCAGGAGGAAGCTATGGGTATATATTTATGCCTCCCCTTTATTTCCGATGGGTTCTTTCTGTAATTGGATAGCAGTGTCAAAGGTTGATTAGAGTTCCTAATAGATTTGAGTTCGGCAAGCGGATTTCGGCTTTAAGTGCTTGATTAAAACAATCGCATTTGTTGTTTGCCTGCCACGCACACACAAGCACACAAATGTACCCACACGCTGGACAAAATCAGAATAATGAGTTTGAGTCTGTATTAGCCTCATAATATATCTTGATGATGAAGCTGTTTTCTCCCCCTACCCCTTTCTATTTGCAGATTGAAAAGGAATGCTTGTCCAAGGAAATTTGTTTAATTGGGTAGTGGCTGAAACAGTGTCCCAGCTAAAAGAGTGGCTGGAGAACAGTAGATTGCTTCAGTTGGCCAACTGCTCTTTCATGCCTGATGGAGAGGTTGGAATTGTCACTGTTTACTGAAGCATGGGCTTATGAATGGTAAACCACGGCTAGTTCAAGGGGGCTTCCCGATGGCATGCGTGGAGCTTCTGTACCTCACCAAAGAGGGTGGTCAGTCCGATCAGTGTCAGAATATGGACTGGAGCGTGCCTACTCCCCCTGGTCAGGGACAGCCCGGTGAAAGTGCAGGAAGGACTTCAACCATATCCATGGCTGCTGAATGCTGCGAGAGGCACTGCAAAGCCATCCAAAGGTCAGATCTTGCTGAAGCCCCTCTTTCCTTCACCACTGGTTCCTCACCGTGCCCAGAATGTACAACCACAGGTGAGATCACCTGCCATCCCAGCTTTCCCAAAGAAGCAAAGGAGGCAACCCAACAGAGAGCTTGCTGCTGCGAATCGGAGACGTCCTTCACTTTCGTGGACGAAAATGTCAACAATCTAGACTACGCAGGACGTCTTGCCCACAAGAGCTGCTGCCAAGGCCAGGATCTCATTCCCCACCCTGACCCTGCTGGAGGGATGCCCCTCGAATGGCCCTACGATCCACCCTCGCTGATTTCCGAGGAAAACGATGATGCTGCCTCGGAAGCTGATGGAGGAAAGTCAATAGACTATGGCTTCGTCAGCGCCATCTTCTTCCTGGTCAGCGGGATATTGCTAGTGATCATTTCCTACGTGGTCCCCAGGGATGTGACCGTGGATCCCAGCACGGTGGCGGCAAGGGAAATGGAGCGGCTGGAGAATGAGAGCGCCAAGATTGGGGCTCACCTGGATCGTTGTGTGATTGCCGGGCTCTGCCTTTTAACGTTGGGGGGCGTAGTACTGTCCAGTTTGCTCATGATCTCTATGTGGAAAGGCGAGCTCTACAGGAGAAGCAGGTTTGCAGCCTCCAAGGAATCGGCCAAGCTCTACGGCTCCTTTAATTTCCGAGTGAAATCTTCCACAAACGATAACATGGAGTTATCGTTAGTTGAGGAGGATGCTCTTGCCGTAGATAGTTAGGACGTCCTTGGCACTCTGAGGCAGCAAAGGAGGAAGAACGTAATTGTCATTACATGAAACCAAATGAAGCTTAAAATAGCAAGCGCCGTCCGTTGAAGAGTATCTTTTCCTAGCCCATTGAAATGGTATGTTTGCGTTCTGTAGACGTCGTAGTCTTGGACAAAAAGACAAAAGAGATAATATTCAAAATAATGCATACATGGGATTCAGAGTGATTGAAAATGGCTCTCTTAGTGTTTATGGAAATTCTTCAATGGCTGATGTCCATTGAAACTGCGTCGCTTAGAGCCACATTCACACCCTACATTTAAAGCTCTGTGATTCCACTTTAAACAGAGTTCCCTGGGAAGAGGGATAATTGATTGTGAAACCACACTGGGGATTGTAGCTATGGGAGGGGAACAGGAGTCTTCTATCGACGCTCAACACCCTTACCAAACTACAGCTCCCAGAATTCTTTGGGGGAAGCCATGACTGCTTAAAGTAGCTTACATTTATTGTTTTAAATGTAGGGTGTGGATGTGGTCCTGGTGTACATGCAATAACAGTAGAATTCGGATTGCCATTGGCTGGCAGACCCACCCCCCAGTGAAGGTCTAGGAGCTGCCCTTTCCATTTTCCACTGCACCATTTGTAAGTGTCAATCCAGGGCTTTGTGGGGAATTAAAATGACATGCCCTTAATCTGCACTGGGGCCTGCCATCTTAATACCCCACAGTACCTCAAAGCGACATTGCATCAGGGTCCCTGTAGAAAATAAAAAGGATGGTGTGGTGCTATAAGCAATGAATGTTTAAGGGGGGCATGGGTAAGGTGTCAGCGGTGGGCTTTGCTGGGCTGCCAGGATTCCAGGAGCTGCCCACTCCCACTATTGAAACTTACATTGGCCTGAGTTCTTGCTGTGCTTTTTTCTTGGTATATTTAATAACAAGAACTCCAACTTATTTAACGTTATTCAAGGCTGGCTGGTGGCATTGCCCATGTATTGCAGGATCAAGTGGTGGCTTATGTGTGAGACTGTGTCATCGCAGACAGAGCCTCCATGTGGCCTCTTCAGTGCAATAGTTTTCAGCGGAGTCAGGCCACACAATCAGCTGAGATATGCACATCAACCAAGATCAGAGATGTCAAGTCTTGTGTGTGTGCAAACCAGGGCTTGATGAGCCGGCAGCTGAATGCGTGGACTCACTCCACTGGATAACATCGTGTCTATGGCAAGAAGAAGGCTGTGTCTGTGTGATGTCAACATTCACATGTGCACACCATCTCTTCCATGCTATGGTCATCAAACGGTGCATATGTGAATTGTCTGTAAATAGCCAAGAGGTGTCTGCGTACTGAATTCACTGAAAAGCATTACAGTTAAGGTAATGGGAGATATCACAAAGGTTCTGTTTTCGCAAAGGCCCTTTCACACAGAGAAGGGGCAGACGAGATCTTCAGGTCCAAATAAACATTTGTAGCATTGCAGCTTGAACATGAGAACTGCCATAGCTCCAACTTAAGCATCTGTTAGGTGTACAGAAGGTCTCTGGCTCAATTTCTGGCATCTCGAGGTAGTGGTGGGCAAATCTTCCTGCCTGGAACTCTGGAGGGCCACTGCCAGTCAGTGTAGGCAATACTGAGCTAAATGGGCCAATGGGCTGACTCGGTGTAAGTCAACTTCCGATGTTCCTATGCATCCGAAGAAGAGTGATACAGAATCAGATCAAAAGCCTATCTAGCCCAGCTTCCTGTTTTCACAGCTGCCACAGAATGTGAGCACAACAGCATTTTCTTTACTTGAGATTCCCAGCAACTGGTTTTCGGAGGCATGCTGTACCCAACAGTAGAGACAGAACATAACCATCACAACTGCTAGCCACTTATTGCCTTATTTATTGTTTTATTATTTATTGCATTAGTTGGTTGCTATTTAAAACAAAGGTTTAAAGCAACTTACCTGGAATGTGTCCAAACCCCCTTTAAAGCAGTCTGAGTTGCTTTAAGTACCGTATTTTTCGTCCTATAGGGCGCACTGGCCCATAGGATGCACCTCGTTTTTGGGGGGGGAAATGAATAAAAAAAAATATTCCCCCCCCAGAACGGGCTGCTATCCGCAAGCCTTGCGAGCCCAGCGGCAACTCCCGCCAGGTGCGCAAGGCTTGCGGACACCTGCGGGAAGCACGGGGTGCCCTCCGGAGGGCGCCCCGTGCTTCGGGCGGCAGGCTGCTGCCCGCAAGCCTTGCGAGCCCATGGGAACTCCCGCCGGGCTCGCAAGGCTTGCGGATAGCTTCCTGAAACCTGGAGAGAGAGAGAGAGGAGTCGGTGCGCACCAACGCCTCTCACTCTCCAGGCTTCAGCGAAAGCCTGCATTCGCCCCATAGGATGCACACACATTTCCCCTTCATTTTTGGAGGGGGAAAAGTGCATCCTATAGGGCGAAAAATACGGTACATCCTGCTGCAGAGAGTTCCACAGTTTAATTGTGTGCTTCTTTTTGGTCTGCCCTGAATTGTCCAACGTTCAGCTTCAGTGGATGACCCCACATTATAGGATAATGAAAGAGAGAGGGAAACTTCTATTCACATCCTTCATGTAATGCATCATTTCATACACCTCTGTTGTGCCCTTTCTTACCTCCCCCCCCACCCCAAGTTAATAAATAAATAAATCAGCAGCAGTTGTTATTCTCTATGCTTGAAAATTTTACCTTTAATAATGCTTTCTACCAGTTTTCTCAGGACAGATGTGAAGTAACAGCCCTGTAATTTTATGGATTCCCCCTGGATCCATTTAAAAAATGGTGTTACTTTGGTTGCATTCCAGGTGCAGAAACTGATCTTAGGGACAAATCACAGATATTTGTTAGAAGACCAGCAGTTTAACATTTGAGTTCTTTAAGAACTCTCAGGTAGATATCACCTGGACCACGTGATTTGCCTGTTTTTAATTTGTCAGGAAGGTGTGGAATTTGGTCTCTTGTTACCACTATTTACCACAGACTGCCTTCCTTATTCAGGCACAAATAACTGCTTTACATTTTCCACAGCGATCTAGTGTGAGTTTCTCACTTGACGCTGGCACTCCGAGATGACATTTTGGCGTTCCAAATTGCGCTAACTTTCTTGTTGTGTGTTAAAATAATTGCTTGGTGGCATTTTCATCCGGCTAAGTCCACGTTTCCCTACCCATCCCTTCCATGCTTCGTATAAAGCATTTAATACTGTCACTCTAAAAACCATGAACTCTAACAGCCTACATGAAAGGTTATTAACAGACTGTGGCAATATGCTAAGGGGCACCAGTAACCAAGCCCCAGGACAGTCATCCGGTATCAGCAATTAAAGACTGGAGCATTCAATTTCAATTTCGGTGGCATTTTTTACTCTGCTTATCAGGGGTGCAGTGGTTTTTTCCTGCTTATACCTGCATATCTATGTGAGATATAAAACTCCTTTAAGCCCCATGATTCATTTAGTCATTAGATTTATAACCCTTCCTGCCCTCGAAGGCTTGGGGAGGTCAGCAAACTTACAAAAAAATAATAATTCTAAAGCGGATGCCTTTGATAATCGCCCTGTTTATCATCAGTTGTTGTCCCCATGTATTTGACCAGTCAGAACTTCTGAAAGATGCTGTACTCCGGTCATTTGCAATGTGAAGATTGGAACTGGGGTTTTTTAGAACAAAATTCACATAAGGAACACATGAGGCACTGCAGAATATCACAGAGTGTCAAGCAGTCGTGCAAGTTGTGTTGCATAAGTGTCCATCAAAACATGCCAGCCGGTGCAAATCTGTTCATTTCAATGGGGCTTATCTAGAAGAATTTGCTGCTAATCAGACCCAAGATCTATAGCCAGCTAGGCTTTGTACGCTTCTTCCATGATGTTTTCTCTACATTATTTTAATCCTAAACCCTTTGGTAAAAGGAACTTTCCAATATACACCTTCTCATTTAATATACAGTTGTTGGGGAGGGTCGTGTACAAAGTGCTTGTCTGCCTGCCCCTAAATACATGTGCTGTGTGTATTAAGTATCCATTGCTGGCAAATCAAGAGCCATTGTGATGCTGTGGTCATGGAACCAACCCTACCGTTGGGCAGAGTGAGGTTTCTGATGCTCGGTGTTACTAAAGGGAAGCAAATTGAGAGTCATTTAATTTTTTATTCTATTTTTACTGCCAAGAAGGGAGAGAGGCGCTTGTGGGATTTTCCACCTCGGGTGCCCAAATAATTTTACTGGCTTTGGGTACCAAGAACCTTCATTTGTGGGCAGAGGAACACCATTTGCTGGTCTGCCTCGGGCGGCAAAATATCTTGAGCCAACCCTGAGTGGTTTAAGTATCAGACTGATACCAGATAGATAGATTTGGATTCATATCCCTGGCCAGCCACAAACCTTATTTTGAGTCATTTTCAGTCAGTCATTATCTCAGCCTAGCCAATCTCAGAGGGCTGGCCATGTACTGAGAGTGTGGTGTTTAGTATGTGTCTGAAAGAAAGCTTGAGAATGGCTGTCACCCCTTCAGCCACTTTCCCCCTGAGGGAATTTGGTGGGGTTAGTGGGGATGGGAGGGGCTCCCCACCCTGATGCTCTTTTGAGGAAAATAAAAGCCAGATTGCAGATTGCTTGCATAAGCTTCTTATACCACCACCAGTGTTTGTTTTGTTGTTTATTTATTTGTTGCACTTATATCTCACCTTTTTTATCCAAGGAGCTCAAGGTGGCATGCATAGTTATCCCCACAACAATCCTGGGACTGGCCCAAAGTCACCAAGTGAGCTGGATGGCCCAGTGGCGATTTGAACCCTGGTCTTCCAGACCCTAGTCCAAGGGTAGGCAACCTAAGGCCCAGGGGCCAGATGCGGCTCAATCGCCTTCTCAGTCCGGCCCGCGGATGGTCCAGGAATCAGCTTGTTTTTCATGAGCAGAATGTGTCCTTTTATTTAAAAAGCATCTCTGGGTTATTTGTGGGGCCTGCCTCGTGTTTTTACATGAGTAGAATGTGTGCTTT